GTGGACTAAAACAAACTTGATGGCATTTTTCTTTTTTCATGTGATATTTTTTTCATATTTAAATAAAAACTCACATAATTTATTATTATTATATTCTTTTTCTTCTTCCTCCCTTCTTCTCTCTTGTCCCTCCGCCCCTTCCTCTTTCTCAACCTTCTTCCTCCGCAAACCCAGCAAAGGGGTTCCATGAGGAACCCAAGACCTGGGTTCATGAAACACAACCACACAAGTTGCAAGTTTGATGTTTGAAAGCAGACAAACGCAATAATGGACTTAGGTACATGATTGAGAGGGAAATGGACAAAATAATTTTAATGTCATACATGCTTGAATTGTAGATTTCTAGATAAGGCAGCCATCGTGACAGAAGAAGACAACACAAAATCTCCCAATCTATAGAGATTAAACATTGTTCATCGAGTGGAAGAACTGAAATTTGTGATCAGAATGGGACCAATATGGGCATCTGGGATCTTGCTCATCACAGCCTATGCTCAACAAAGCACCTTTTCTCTCTAAATTCCATCTCCATATGCTTCCAGCTATTCTACAGCAAATCAACCAAAACCGAGCACGATTTCGTAACACATTCAAAGAAAACACGATCTAAACTACATAATGCGTTTCAATCAAAAGAAAGAAGGTAAAGAACTAAAGGAAAACAAACAGAAATCGAATGAAGATCCCAGAGTTCGTTCAAGAAGAAGAAGAAGAATCCAAGGCTCCTTGTGAAACCCAGTAGCTGGGTTCGCGAAACCTAGTTGCTGGGTTCCTTTGGGTTCCGGGAGGAACCCAAATTTGGGACTGGGTTTGCGAAACCCAATAGTTGGGTTCGCAAAACCCGCTACTGGGTTCCTCACGGAACCCAAATTTGGGTTTCATGAACCCAGGTCTTAGGTTCCTCATGGAACCCCCTTGTTGGGTTCGCGGAGGAAAAAGGTTGAGAAAGAGGAAGGGGCGGAGGGACAAGAGAGAAGAAGGGAGGAAGAAGAAAAAGAATATAATAATAAATTATGTGAGTTTTTATTTAAATATGAAAAAAATATCACATGAAAAAAGAAAAATGCCATCAAGTTTGTTTTAGTCCACATCATCAATTTTTTCCATGTGGTATTCTATTGATTAGTGTGTAATAACACGTCAACAATGAAAAAGAAAAAAGAAAAAAGACAAAATATTTAACAGATTATAGTGCCACTCTGTCACTTAACTGATGGAAGGACCAAAAAGGGGCTGGATTTTTAAATTTAGGAACTAAAAAGAGGATTTTTTCGGTACAGGGATCAAAAAAGGGCTTTTTCTTATAGTAGAGGGACCAAAAAAGGTATTTAACCTTAAATTTTCAGCTTAAATCTTTATTCATATCTATCATTCAAACTTTTTTTAAATAAATTATTACATTTAAAATTAGTAATTATCAAAAAGAATAATTTAGGCCTCGTTTGGTATAGCGGTTTTGGGGTAGCGGTAAGCGGTTAATGGTTTTATCTAAACCGCTAAATATAAGTGTTTGGTAAATTTATATATTTCGAAACCGTTATAAATAAAGTGTTTG